GGGGAGCATCCCCCCCGGACCCCCCTAGAGGAGGTGAGGACCTAGAGGAGGAGAGGACCCCCCCCCCACTCATAAAAAGGCACTTTACCCCTGCCTATATGCCGTGAGCTGATTATGGAGCCAGTAATTCAGATGCAAATTAGCCTATATAAAAGGCCTCAAATTGGAAGCACTGTCTGGGCCGTCTTTTTCACTCAATTCTGCAATAGGTAGATCTCGCCTTTCACCTAGGCTGAGGTCGGTGATCTTGGGCTTAAAAAGGTTGTTGACCACTGCTCTAAATAGTGGCTCTGGAGCAGCTTTCCTCGACATTGAGAAACACCCCTTGTAGCTAGTAGTCCCAGCACCAGTGCCTATAATGAAAGTGAAAAACACCCTCTTGGGGATTTTGCTTTGAAATTGCTTGCCATTACTTTGCCATTCCTCTTACAAATCATCTGTTCATATGTCAAGGACATGGTCATACTAACCCAGCACTGTCATAACCTGTGATCATCCAAGGCTGGATTATATGCAATATGACAGAAGCACAGGACATGACTAACTTCAACAGCCACACAGTAGATGACTGTAGAGAGGTGAACAGAGGCCACAGAATGTAAGAGATGCAACATAATCTTTGAGGCACTTTATCATGATCTAAGGCAGGACAGGTCCCAAGTTGTGAGGGGGTTGTTGAGTCTGATGTATTGATGTTTCATCAGTCGAATTCCGGGTATACTTGCATAATTGTACCATAAAATAAAATTGCAGTGGTAATAGTGAAGAAAACTCAAAGAAAGATTAGTAATGCATTTACAAAAATAAATAAATGGGTATTCTCTCAATCTCGAATTTCTCGCAAAATACCTGTGAACTTTTTATAGTGTACAATGAAGTTATCACCCTTATGATGTAAATTGGTGAAATTAGGCTTTATTTAAGGATGTGGGGATCTTTTGAATTTTCAGCATTTGAAATGTAACAGGGAGCTGTGAGCCTGTGATAGCGCTGCATCACTGAAAACTGCGGGAAAGGTTGTGACACGCTTCAAGTCCTAAGAGTGCTAAACATAGCCTTTCTTTAAAAGAGACCATCATCATTAGGTAGTTCTCTTTGAATTAGCAAGAGTGCTAAGCAAGGGAATCACAAGACACAAATGTAAATGCAAATGTAAATGTTTCTAAAGTTTTCTTGAATAGTTTGGTTTAATTCGGTCCATTCAAAGTGTACGGTGGCTGACTGAACTACAATGGCCCAAAACACTTACGTTAGGAGAAACACGCTGCACTAGAAGCGTTTCGCTTGTTGATGTTAGGGGATTTTAAACTTGGCCAACTGTCAGTCTCGCAAAGTTAGTGTGTTTCATAATTGTAAGTGTTTTGTCAGAACATTTGGATCGCTAAGTTAGCTATAGCTTACAGCAGAATCATCTGACCACATTGTTAAAATTAGCCAATAAAACTTACATTTTGGGTACGTTTCCAGCGACAGTAACAGTTTGCCAACTTTATAATTCCCGAACGTCACCAAGCGATCTGGTCACTGTGCCACTTTTAACTGTCCCTGTTTGCGTTGTGTTTTGAGCTTCTTCCAGCATTTTTTATTTGCAGCGTTTCATTTATGTAGTGCTTTTAGTAAACCCTATTATGAAGTTGGTGAAGATTTTTTCTCATTTGCATGTGTTTTGGCACATTTATGTTTTTACATTTGGATTGCTTTTGAAAGTGCAGCGCGTTTCTCCTAATTTCTCCTGATGTTTTTGGCCGCTATAGTGCGTTTGCCCCTGTCAATCCCTATAAAAGTGGGATTTGTCAATAATACAGTATACCAATCTTCAGAAGCTAGCACACTGGCCTACAAGATGGATGATTTATTTAGCATTGTTCTGCCTTATGTTCTGCTTTCTTAGCATGTAACATCAAAAGAGCAGCTAAACAGAATAGCGCAGAGCGTATAAATAACTCATACCACGGCCTGGTGTTGTAATGAGCAGGAGCTGGATAATCACATGAATGTTTCAAATGATCAATATTGCCAAATGGTCCAATGAGGCTGCGACTATTCTATAACCCCCGGGTCAAATATCAAGAGTCAGATGAGGAGCTTTTACTGTAAATGAATTCCTCTTCCTGCTGCAGACCTGCTGCAGAGTGATAAACTACACACCCACATTCACATTTAACACACATACACACGGCCTGGTAGGGTTGTCAAGGAGCTACCATCCTTTCTTCAGACCACCAGAGGCAAATCTGAGTGTGCCTGGATCCCACTCGGTTCTCAGCAGATAGCGCGGAGCGAGATGCAGCTCTCTGCCCTGTAGCTATGCTTCGAAGTGCTAACATGCAGTGAGGAGAATACTCAATTTAGGGGAAAGAGGATGAAAGAGGGAATTTGGTGCTGGAACTGGTGGGAGATTGCGAGGGGGATTTGTTTTTTTATTATTGATGCCCTGGGTGACTTTGTATGCATACAAGCAATAACCACCAAAGAGAATAACAGCTCCAGTGAGACTTACCAGCACACCAATAGCACAGCCAGAGCGCTGTAATGACTCGTGGTTACAGAAGGCTGCAGGGCTTGCTTTTGTTTTCCACATGGTGAACATCAGCAGGTGTTTTACACACTCTGGTAAACAGACATGGTGCCTGAGAAAGTGCTCCCACTCGTTCCTTTGCTTACTCAGCATATTGATTTAAGACAGTATAAACAGCAACCTGCAGAGAAAGCAGAGGACTGATACAATCAACGAGCAATAAATGGATCACTTGAAAGGCGGGCATGTGGAGAGGGGAGAACCAGAGCTGCTGCTACATGTGAAAACAAGGCAGTGAAATGGATAATTGACACTTCACCTAAATGTGTGTTGTCTGTATGTGTAGGAAAGTGGGAGACCCATTCAGATAAACATAAAAAAACTGGCAACTGCCAACATTTGTCCCTATTTGTGGTGAGATACTGGCAGGAAATTATCCTGATGAGGCACGTTCAAATAAGGGAGATAAGAGACGGGGATTAAATTGTCATTTAAAATGTAAAATTAGCTAAATTGAGCTTGGGTTTGTAGCGAAAATAAAAATGTACATAATTGAAAGTTACATTGTGTATTCGGTGTAATAAATGAAGGCCAAATAAATAATTTTTTATTTATTTAACAATAATTTGCTTTTATTTGTTGCTCCAAATAGCATTATTAATGACAGATTAATGATGACAAAATGTTTGTATACCTGCCTGCACATTCTGTAAAATGTGTAAATGCAATGTTCTATTTTTGTATTCTCTTTGATGCTATTACTGTTTTTATAGCTGTTTTCACCATTACTTTTATTTATTTGTTTCTATTTTTTAAACTTCATAGAGCTAGGCCTTCACAATTTCCTTGTAAACGAGTAAAACGACTTCCTATAATTCAGATTCTGTTCACATTGACACATAAAAAAGGACCACAAACGAAGCATCTGCATTCCTTTTTGCCTATCTTAAATCATCTCTTTTGTCTTCTTTGTGCTTTGTCACTTTTTGTTACTGGTCCAGGGGTCCTGGAAGGTTGGTTTCGTAATCCATCCATGAAGGCAACCAGCTATCACCTTCTGTATCTGGAAGGATGTGCAATCAGAGTCCCCCCCCCCCCCTTCAGATCAAGATGACTGCCAAACAACTCACAAGAAATCCAAACCCTGTAAAACTACCAATAAATGCCTGTGTGAGTTATTCTAGCCGTAACTAAAAGCCAGACATGGGATGTAACAAAGGGAGCAGACGGCCATTGCATTCACTATCAGCTCATTTCATGCCACCGCAAGAGACTGAGCAATCACACCTGACGGCTTTTGGACAACAAGCCTTTTGAGATGAGCCTTGTTGTTTGTGCGGCATGGCAAAACAGTAATTGCCCTCCTTGTCAGGCAGTGTCATTAAGTCAGGGGAAGTGAAACAAGCCAGCCGGTATAAGCGATAGGACACATAAGAGGAAAAAGACAGGCTGCACAGCCGGCAGGGAGAAACCTGCGCTGAATGCCAAATAATTCAGATGTTTACAAAGTGGAGGAGAGCAGCTGTGAGAGTGGAGTGGAGCTGTGAGGTGACTTGGTCAGGTTGATTATATGGAGACTGGCAAATCAATGTATTGTGCAAATATTCCTCACAGGTTATATGAACCATCAGTGTGAAATATATCCTGGTTTACCCTGCTGTCGATGTTGATACGTTTTAGGATATAACCATAAAGCTTTACAATGAGCATGCAATGATAACATTGTGGAACTGTTTGCTTTTCTGGAAAGGCTTTTTTAATATACAGATCTTTGCTCATTTAAAGCACCTAATTATCAATGTTTTGATCATCACAGAATGACTTGTATAGGAAGCAGATTGCTCATAATAAACATCAGAGAATTACAACCAGTTTGAACACTTTTCAGAACAGATAATACGTTTTCTTGACCACAGCTTTAAGGGCAAATTTCAAGTTCATACATATTGGGTTTAATCATCAATTATCTCTATTGCTGCCCACTCCCTCATGACATCAAAAACACTCACCTCCCTTCAAAGCATTGATAAAAACTCCCTTTTTAGTGTTCAATGTTGCGAGTTTGATATTTTTTATCTTTGAGCACCTGTACTTCATAGAAACCTAAAGTCATTAGATACCAAGATGGAGAGCGGTATATTCGAATGAGCCTATTATGTCATAAGGTGAGCCAAATCTGTACCGGTAGCTTGTTGAAAATCATGTTTTCCGATGGAATCTGATGAAAAAACTGATTGCCTTATTTTGTAGTTTCTGTGTTAGTAAGCAACAATTCATTTTGAATGTCCCTCTAATGTTTTAACAATTTGTTTCCAAACTCCCTTCAGCGAAAAAGCATTAGAAACCCAATGTTTGCTTCTCAGCACTGAACGACACACGTAATATCTAGTAAACAATCAAATGTTGATTACCATGACTGGCTTAAGGCCAGCAAACCTGTTCCTGCATATTTCAAGATTTAAAAAAAGCAACAAATCTTTAATCAAATTAATAAAATGCAGAAAACATTTTAATACAATGAAACACAGTAGAAATCAGCAGTCAACGTAGCGGTCCACATGCAAATACAGCTGAACTTTTCCAGATGGTTCACATATGGAGATCGCATACAATGGCAAAGAAATAACAGAATATCCTTAAAATACATTTTCAAATATGAAATTTGGGGTTTTAATACATTGGGCTTTTGAACAAGTTATTAGGGAAAAAAACATCAGCATAGCAAGATGCGTTTTTTTTTATGACAGTGCAAAAGACATATTCTTTTGTAAATGGCATGACTCCTGGTGTAGGGTCACATTAGAGAGTTTTAAAAGCTTGGAGACAGTTTCTGCGGGGCCACTTGACCAACAACATATGGAAAAATAACTTATATATAAAAGGTAAATGACAATGTGTGTTTTAAAAAAACATTTGTATTGACAGCATGAGACAGAAATAAAGCAGGCTCTGTTATGACCACTTCACACACATGCCACATAGTGACAAATAATGCTGGAAAGCAGTCAGTTATGACAACTTTAACTGTACTGTCATTTGGTTGTAGGAAACAGATGCAATTGTTCTTGATCACAGAAGACTGTGTGTGTGTATGTTTGTGTCATAAGGGGGTAGTGTCTATGATGAAGAATAAGTCAAACTGAGATGCACCATTAAGGAAGGCGGGCGGATGGATGGATGGACAGATGGGGAGAGGCGGGGCGATGTTTCATGCAGCCGACCGTCGGCGTATGATAAACGCTCCCCTCTGCAGCTGACCCAGGTAGATCCTCATCTTTGTACTGTCGCTCGTCTTCCTCACCCATATCTGGAAATCAAAGGAGAGAAAATGTCTCAATGCAGTCATGAAGAAATAAATGAGTTGCAAAGAAGCTGTCAATATAAACCACATCCATGAAAAATACGAGATCAAATAAATATCAGAATGCTCCTCAGAAACATGCAATTTCTTTTCAGTGGTTTTTCTTTCTTTCTTGTGTTGATTACAGTGGGGGATTAGTAGTGTGACTAGTCAAACATTGGTCAAATAAATCTGTGGTCGGTATGTCTTGCTGTTATTATTGTTTACCCCTTCCATAGAAATCACCAAAACTAACAATGACAAATGTGACTCAAAAAGAAGTCAATAGTGAATTTTGTTGGAGACTATTTATAGACATGTGGGGCTCTGGTGAGCATTCGCTGCAGCAGGACAGGATTTAGTCCAAATACACTTTTGCACGCACTATGGCACGGAATAATTCAATATGTATTGTTTGGCAACACAGACAACATTTAGTTGTTAGTATACATTCATGGGATTTGTTAACAATCAGGAAAATGTTAGGGATGCAGTCATTTTAAAAGGGGCCCTATTATGCAAATGTTTTAAGGTTCATCTTTGTATTTTAAGCATCTTCTGTGACATGTCTCCATGCTTTAATGTTCAAAAAGGTCTTTATTTTTCTCCTACTGTCTGTGCTGCAGTACCTCTTTTCTCGCCCAGTCTGCTCTGATTGGTTAGCTAGCCGGCTCTGTTATTATAGGTCAACAGCTTAGAGATGTCCCGTCCCTTCACCTATCTCGTACAATGTGTTTGAGCTCTAGCCAATAGAAGCACGAATGCTACATAGTGATGTCACTAATCGAACTTTGGGATTTTAACCTTGCAGACCATTTACATGCCTATACAACACACTATAGCAAAGGGAGAACCCCAAAGATCTTAATAGGGTCCCTTTCAAATGTGCCATACTGACAGCAAGCAAGATGACTTTCACTGATGGCAGAAGCCAACGTTTATGTGTTGTGTACAGTTTGCGCTTGCTAAATGTCATTTTGCACTTTGAGAGCAGCTGCTTTAACCGACTGATTCGAAAAAGAGGGCACTGGCTGAACACGCCTCTGAACAAACTTGTGGTTTGTTTACCATTAAAGATGTAAGAAAATGCAGCCGTGTGGGAGCAAGAAATATCGGTGACAGACAGTTTGTAAGAAACGTTTCCTTTGCAAATGTGAGTGCACTCAGATATTGTAGAGATAATCACCTAAGTTTTCCTCGGTTTTTGGATAAGAAGAGAAACAATCGGAGCTGCTCCATGGCAGAAATGCCCACAGTATCTTTAGTCAGTTATTTAGTTAGTTGCATAGCAGGATAAAGGGGCTTTGGAAGTAGTTAAAAAACATATTTATAATTTGAAAGAAGGCTATATTAATAGTAGTTTCATTCATTGCTTTGATTGAATTGGTGCTTACTCAGATGATGTATTGAATGGCAACACAAATACTTAGGGAAACCAAATAAATAACAACCCCCTCAAAAACAAAACAGCCCAGAAATTCATAATTGTTGACTCCCCAGAAAATACATGATATCATGTGCCCCATGTTATAAGCAGTGGTATGAGAATAAGTTACATGTGCAACAGGAGCCAAATGAAGACTAAAGCCCACCTCGTTGGTCCCCACTGAGCTGATGACACAGCTAATCTTTGTGTTGTCCTTTGACTCCAGGTAGATGGCCTGGCTCTTGTGGTACCTGTCAGCATTAAAGACACACACACACACACACAAAAAACACATTAATTCTGCATTCAAGGTGAGATTTGATGGATAGGCTTAAGTGCAGACAGAAGAGAGGTTCATTATACATCATTTCACCCAGCTGAATAGACCACAATCCTCCTGAGCTGGCACTAAATAGATAATTAGACGGGAAAGTTAAAACAAAAAGTTTTTTTCATTTAATGGCTCCAAACTGTCAGAGGACAAAACCAACCCAGGGGAAGAGACTGACAACCAAAACGCTTGATCATTAAGGGCCCACTGAAGAATAATGACGCATATTTCTCCCTGCGGCTCTTTGTGAAGTCTTTCCTGTGGCGGCGTCTTCTTTAGAGAGGAATAAATCAGACTGTGCCTTGAAAGAGAAGTGTGCATACCTCACAGCGCGCTCCTCTTAACTTCCTCTGTCTGTATCAGCCACTTATAAAGACAGAACTCTATTACTTCTTCACACGACCTTATGTTCACGTCTGATGCGGAGGAGCTCTACTCTCAAACAGAAGGACATCTGAGCGGTGTCTGGTCAAGGATTTTCATTATTTCCATCTTTGCATCACAGCAGAGTGTTTCTCTGAATATGTATTTTGATGGTTCAAGCACTAGCATTCATTCAGTCGTTCCTAAGAAATATCTTTATGAAAAAAAGTCTGCCATCAAAGTTGTTGTTTGATTCTTTTTGAAAACCAAACACCAAAGAAATCAGCCAATGGCAATGTGGCCATCTAGTGGTGACAGGAGGTGTAGTCTAGCTATGTGAGAAATGGCACAGTGTAATGCGAAACACAAGAGATTTTGAGAATGACAGTTCAACAAATTCACCATCTTTTGTCGTAGTAGAGTTTCCCCTCCTCGATGCGAGCCTCGTACCGCTGGGAGGGGCTCTCCATGGGGGCGGAGGGGACGTGCTCTGGAGTCGTGGGAGACACTGAAGGGGGAGAAACACCGGGTTAGTTTGACCACGCAAGGCACAAGTAAAAGCAATATTTTGGAGAAATTATGGATGCTATGCTAATCTGCGTTTTGCTGACATGAAAGTTTTTTTACTGACTATTTCTTAGCTGGGAGACTTGCCTAGAAGTCTAAAAGTCTAAAAGGCCAGCTGTTTCCCCTAAAGTCTTACTTTTTTAATTTTTAGCTAACTAACAGCTTGCTGTAAATTCTTATTTTGGTTACAGACAAGGGAGTGATATATACATCATTTAACTCGAAAACGTGTAAGCATATTCCCCTAAATGAACTACATAACTTGTTGTGCATGACAAGTTCACATTAAATACTGCAAAAGGTGAGCATTTACATACCTGGCCTTTTTGGTGACTTAAGCTGTGAAAGAAAAAGTGTAAAAAGACAGAATTAGACAAAATAAGATCCACTCGGGAAATGCTAAATATCAAGATGTTCAGAACTACAAACCTTATTAAGTGTTCTTAGATCTTCCATTATCTGATCATCTGTTAACAAATAATTTAGCTGAGGTTTGAAGAGTTAAGGAAAGCATTTTTGAACACGACATGCTACAAGTACAAGTAAAACTGAATACTGAAGCCCTCACACATTCATCTAAAGTGACTGCTAACTGTAGCCGATCAGATACTGTATTTAAAAGGATATCTGGTGCAGGTTTTCTCCGTTTGTCTGGTATTGGGACCGGGTCATTGGGCCGTCTCCTCAGCTTCCGAGTCATTATAGGTTTTACCTCCATTGAGTCTATGTATGAAAGAAATAATAAAAAGTGAGATCCAACAATAAGGGACACACGTTCTCAAAACTCACAGACGATTCAAGATGGCAACAGAAACATGATAAATTAGTGAATCTCAAAGTTCTACATTAATCAGACAACTTAAACTATAGTGTGCATTGAAAAAATCTCACTGCCAACCACAACACTTTTTGCCCCATTTCTCTCTTCCACTTCTATAATTAATAATCCTAACGTGACTCCCATACCTCCCGTCAGCTCCATTGTTAATTTTTCATTCTCGATCATCTTCTTCTTCTCCTCCAACTCTGCAATTAGGTTTTCCTTCAGTTCCACTTTTTTATCGTCAAACTCCTTCACCGCTGCTTTCTTCTCCTTGATGTAGTTCCTCTCCACCTGCTCTGTCTGCAGAAGGTTGAGAGAAGGGCATGATGGAAAAAGCAGGGAGGTTTTCTTTGTAATGCCAAAAAAGTAAAGGTCAGTTAAGTTTAAACAACATCAGTCGGTCAGCGTGATGAATACTACTCACCTCAAGCTGGAGAAAGAGATCTGTAAAGAGAAAGGAAATCATCTGTTATCATACTCGCTGATTATATCTGACATTGGACCACTACTATGGTTACTCTCAAGACTTTAAATATATATAGATAGATATGAGGGGATGCTAGGTAACAGGGTGAGGTGCAGGGTCAGAAAGAAAAAGGGGTCTACAGCAAGGACACCAATATTAAGCAGCTATCAATTAACATAAAAGCACTTGTTGCATTGCATTCTGGGCAAAACAAGTCATTATGATTAGCAAAAACGTAGGCACTGAATATTCTGGCTCACAAAGCTGGCAAAAGAAAAAGCTAATCAGACAAAAGCTGCTGAGACATCAAAATAAAGTAATCAAAATAATTAAAACTGTCAAATGATGGAAGATGAATGGGTTTGGAGCAGAGGGAGGAAGATGACTCAGTCCATTTGAGACATTTTGATCTGTTCTTGCACGTTTACAAATTGATGATGTCTGTGTAGAACCTATACTTTTAATCATGATATTGTACGCTGTTTTTAATCTAACAGCTCGCTTTATTTATCCAATCTGCTAATCAAAAAAGTACGAGTTCTTTTAACCTAATCGGACAGTCATGACATTGGAGCACACACTAAATGTGAACACAGAACCCCACTCCATTTGTTTTGTGAATTGACATTTTTAATGAAGGCTATTTTTTTAAACAACATACTCTATTTTAAAACTACTATTTTAAAACCTCAGAAATTTAAAAAAAAAGGCAGAAATAATTTGTTTGTTAGACTCAAATTCAAACAAAATGCAGGAGGAAATGACTAGGAGTCAAGGATACAGTCGACCACAACATCTACTATAACACTGCAGTAATTGTAGAACAAGTTTATAACAAATCCTATGACGGCAGCCATGTGGGAAATCTGATCTCGTGGTGTATAATGCTGCTATAGCCACACTTTTCCTCTTTGTAGTCATAAGCTTTTGCAATTGGTCAAGTTTGGTGAAGCAAAGAACAGTCACTAACCTGCATTTCGGAGTCTCTCTTTGTACTGCTGGTCCAGCTTTTTCATCCTCTTCTGATACTCCTGCAATGTACCTGAAAAAGAAAATGTTTTGGAAACAAATGTGAAGATGTGGAATTACAACATTGACTAAAGAATGGTAAAGGTATCCTTTATTACTTAGTTGTACACCCACAGTCTAGACTAGATTTAACTGTCACTGCACCTAAATTGCAACACAACATGTCACCTCCATTTCTACACCGTCAACCTACTATTCAAAAACACTTTGAATCAGTCATCAACACACAGAATAAATTAAACAAAATGAGCTGCTTATTACATTACATTACATGTCACTTGTTAGACGCTTTTATCCAAAGCAACTTACATACTCAATACTGTGGACAATCCCCACAGGAGCAATTTGGGGTGAAGTGTCTTGCCCAGGGACACAACGACATGCTGACTGCAGTGGGACTCGAACTTGCTATCCCCTGATTCCAAGTCCAGCACACTATCCCACTGAGCCACAGCCTCCCTGTTACGTTTGTTTGTATCCATGTATTAGTTTATTTTTCATTTTGGCCAGAGACAGCAACTCTTAAAATGCCTTTTGAACTGCCTTTGTGTCCTGATGATGTAATGCATCAACATGAATAATCCTTTAGGATATAGCTGCATTATATCTACACATAGCTTCAAAATATAAATGAACCCTGACCAGGACATTTATCCCATCTCACACTATGAAGAGCAGAAGTCATGCACATTTGGAAAAATCCTGCCACACTTCTGTTATAGGGGGAAAATGCAATGGATTACCTTCTTGTAATTGCTGCAACTGCCTTTTCAGAGAGGCCAGTTTGTCTTGGTACATTCTGCAATGAAATAAAACAGAGATAGTTTTATATTTTCCTATAATTTGTAAACATTAAAACAAACTTGACTTACAAATGACTTTTATTGATGTTAAAACAGCTGACCCATGGTTAGCAAAGCACTTACTGCTCTTTGATTTCGACATAGTCATCCTCGTCGTGTTTGGCAAGGTCTGTTTCACTGGCATCTTCCGTGTCTGGAAAAAAGGTAATGAAAGAAGATGAATACTCTCAATTATAACACTTTTTTTAACTTTACAAACAGCCTAAAAAAAAAGACTGTTGTTGTGATCAAATCAGCATGTTATACCACAAGAAAATCATTAAGTTGGCACAAGTTACGTCCAGACAAACAACAGATGTCTACTCGGATCAAAGGACGTGCGTGGCACCGGTAAGGTAATGGTGAACACCCTGTTTGGGATTGCCCTCTTTGTAATAATAGGACAATGAACATCCAAGTTTGCCATGAAAGATCCTACATTATCTATCTTCGCATCAACAACGGTGAGTTTAGCAGGATGAAGACAACGCTTGTAGTTGTAATCTAATTACATTAATGTGCCGAGCGAGATAAATGTAGCTGTTAGTTTGAGTGTCACGCATTTGCCGCATGGTGAGATTAATCAGAAACGGTCCCCGGCTAACTTGGCCGTGCTGTCAGTCCAACGGCAACTCTCACGGCAAAGCTAACATGTTAAGGCTAATGCGATGTGGCAAACTTGGGGGCCAAGTTTATTAACACCGGCTAACCTAGGCCAGTCGGTGTTACCTTCAAAACCGGACAGGAGAAAAGGGTAAGGCCCAGTTGCATTAAGCTGACACTGCAGCTTTCATTTTCGGTTAGCATTAATGTGCTAGCTTAAGTTAGCCCCGTCTTCTTTAAACAGTAACCCGATTCGAGCTCGCGTAGTTAGGAGCAGCACCGCCGTCAACATGCCCGTGCGAGGAAGAAATAAGTCCAGAGCTGCTCGCTTCGGAAGTCAGTGTCAGGAAACTATCTAACCTTGTTGTGCTGTCATCGCCTTGCTTTCCTGTTGTCTCCTTTTCTCTTTCACTGCTATCCGTCCTGTCTCACTGAATAGTGTGAAACGGGCAGTGCCGTGGACACAGGACGCAGGGTTTCGCCTGCCTGCCGATCTGTCAATGCGTGTAGCTAACGCTACTTAGCAGGTTGGCTAATTAACGCTATGTATCCCTTTTGAAATATGTTTGAAGGAAACTGTATTATTCCAGCAACGACGTAACATGCCAAACGTTAGTTTGATTACACTTGCAGTAAGAGTTGATCAGTTTTAATTTATTACATAATAGAGGCAATATGCCGAATAATGTGGTTAAAGCTGATTGGTGCCTCACGGGGAACGTTAGTATAGATGGGCTAGCTGGATTAGCATGACAACAAATGTTCGGTGATATCATTATCTTTAACCGTTGGTTACATTGTTGCATCAGCAGACGTTATTCGCTTGCACACAGTTTAGCTAGTATCCATCATCTGCTTCTGAAATGTTTCTTGACTCGGCAGATACTTGATTGGCGGTCGTGTGGTAGCTTGTTATGTAGCTAGCATGCCAACTGTGTGTAGGTGAGGCTCGCGTTTTACGAGCTTTCCAATTTGGGGAACAGGAAGTTGAACATTTAATTTAGGAGGCAATGTGAAACAGCTTAATCTGTAGATCACTTTAAATGCTAGATTGAAAAATAGCTGATTTGACGCAATTAAAGCGCGCTTCCGTTTCTTTTCCAACAAGTAGACAGAGCCCATCGGGTTTTTTTGCTCAATTCGTCAAACGCTACCTTCTTCCGAGTCTCTTCCCCTGAAACTCCGGTCATCGTCGTCCTCCACGCTATCAAGTTCTTCTTCATCGTTATAATAATCCACCATAGGCGACAGCAAAGTCGAAGCCATTTGTTCGCATGCAAAATGTAAACAAACACAAAATAAACAATCGATTTGTGTTTTGCAGCTCGCTTGGAAAAGCGCCTACAACTGGCAGGACCTCCGAGTATCAAGCTGTCTGCCCTTATGCCTGTAAACAATATCTGTAATATTAATGTGTAACATTAAAAAAATGTATGTTTTTATTTTATTTTTCAAACATTAAAATAAATACAGTATATTAGTCCATGATGTATGTGTTTTCTGTATGCACATTGAAAACTGCCTTAAATAATATCATCAGGCATTATACCGATCAGCAGCAACCATCGGGTGTCTTTGTTTTGGCTCCCGTCCGGCTCGCTTTCCATCTAGTATATCTACACTCAGAGGGCTGTAGCTACTACGAAGCCAGTATAGTGGGTTAGCGAGGAATGTTGACCTTTTAAGTTTTCCGTATTACGAAAATACTCTCTTTTAACCTGGCTAGATCACCATGGCAATTTATCATAGACTATACATGCAATGTATGCATAACCTGGTCCAGACCATCGACTATAAGGCCCTCAAGACCATGTTACAACAACCTAGCCTATATCAGTAATTCAGAAGATCAAAGCAAGGACAATGCTGTGTGTCGTCGTTATTTTAAAGGAAGGTTTCAGTGTTCATTATTTTATTTATATGTTTCTTTCCTCCTATTTAGTTGTGTGTATAAAGTATTATAATATTTATTTCAAATGTTTTCTTTTGCCATTGGCCCACACTGGCTCTTAAATAAACCTATCAATTGTCAGATGCAATTTGTAATTCCCTGTATTGTTCATCAATATGAAGTGTACATGCATATGCAGTATCATCATTCAAACCATAACTTTTAACACTTCGGAATCATTGGGGGACAGATTCTAACCAAATGCAATGTTTTAGTATATTGTTTACATCTGCTGAATCAAGTATACAGTTTAAGAGCTGTATAATGCACAGTTGTTGCATCAAGGGTTCACTTATATAACTTGTGAATTTAAACGATTAGAACATTTCCTCCATTATAATTTTATTTTGCATTTGCATCAACAGGTTGCCTTGTGCGTTGATATTCTTTATAAAAAACATCCCTAAGATGTATTTCTACATTCTGTCTGTCTGCTTTCCACCCTGTCACACTTATAAGGAATTTTAAATCAGTAGGCATCAGAACATTTGTACCTATACCAACAATTTATCAAGTAATTTAACTGATACATTAGTTCAAACCTACCAGGCGTAATTGATTGGAAAATTGCAGATTATGCATATTAGCTCTTCGATTTACACACGGCATCTATTGCACGTCTGTCCGTCCTGGGAGAGGGATCCCTCCTCTGTTGCTCTCCCTGAGGTTTCTCCCATGTTTCCCTTTAAACTGTGGGTTTTCTCTGGAAGTTTTTCCCTGTACGATGTGAGGGTCTAAGGACAGAGGGTGTCGTTTTGTCATTCTGTACAAACCTGGAAGTCCACTGAGACAAATGTAACATTTGTGATATTGGGCTATATAAACATTGATTGATTGATTGATGCTAACATGGTGATTGCAAGTGTAATCATATCACGGTAAACATTTTCCATTCACTGGTCTGGTATAACAATGTTGAAGCACATTGTTAAAAAGCAATAGCATCCCTACACAAGGTATAATCCATTTTTAGATCCCTTTGGGTATTTCTAATAGTTTGGTTGGTTTTGCAAAAATAATCTTGTGACATTTAGTCGGTTTTCTGTCTGTTCTCTGATACATGAAGTATCTCTTGCCTGTGTCAGGATGAGTAATACCAGTTATTTCAGAAGTGAACCTCTAAGTTGCTTGCCTTAACATGTTGCCTCCAAAGAAACAAAAAACACCTGGTCCATGCATTATATGTGAAAGCCTAGAATAGTGAGATCCTGTGTAGACCATCTATACTGTTCCTGATAATCAAATCAAGTTTTATTTATATAGCACATTTATAAACGATTTTTGGTCGAGCCAAAGTGCTGTACATATAATAAAAAAATAGCCTACAGTAGAGACACTTTACAGCAAATACAACAGCACAGATTGTTCAGAATATCAGTATGAGAAAACGACACCCTCTGTCCTTAGACTCTCACATCGTACAAGGAAAAACTTCCGGAGAAAACCCACAGTTTAAAGGGGGAAAAATGGGAGGAACCTCAGGGAGAGCAACAGAGGAGGGATCCCTCTCCCAGGACGGACAGACGTGCAATAGATGCCGTGTGTAAATCGAAGAGATAATACATTTTACAGCATATAGACCGAATGTTAGGAAATGCATGTGTCTGTAATAAGAAGATGAATCCACGAGGATGTCAGCTACAATCCTGTGGAAGCCATCAGGGAAGCAGCATGACGAGACCCAAGGCAGGACCGCAGAGACAGGTTCAGCCACGACCCGAAGTCCACGACTTAATCCAGAACTCGGGATAGAGGATCCAAGACACAGGACTACAGCAAGAGGATCAGCCTCGACTCCGGATCCCGGCGTAGATATAGATACAAAACAAGAAAAAAAGATTTGGCTGGGTTAATCGGAACAAGAGAATACACAGACAGAGAGGGAAAAGGTCATTGGATAAAAGTTATTCTTGATAACCCTCTAGAAAGATCTCATGAACTTCCCCACTCAATCTATCAAGACCCGAGCAGTTCTATTAGATATAGGATAAGAAACAGCGATAGGGAGCATAACAACCTATCTCTTCGACACTAAACTGAAGGCTGCTTTTCAACTATCCTCCTAAGCCTTTCCGGAACATGCCTGCCCTTCAGAATGTCTTTAAATAATTGATTGACAATTAGTTTTAATTGAGCTTTTTATTTGAATATGTGCTCTTTCCATTAGTAATAGTAAACTGAATATCTTTGGAATTGAACTTCAAGAGCAATTCTTGGATTTTTGTCTGTGGATTTATAGAACTGCATCTTAGGTCATATGGACATCATCAAACAGGAAGTGATCATGCAGGGATCCCCCTTAATTGGTACAGTAATCCCAAAAACAGGGATTGTGGGTTTTGAGTGAGTGGTTCAGTATAAGCCAATATGTTAGAGGTCAGCAGATTGAAGTCATCCTTTCTTTCACCCTTACAAGAAAACATAGCATGTTTGGGTTCTGAACTATTGGTTCAAGATGTCACATAGACACTTTCTCATTTCTCTAATTCCCCTCCTCGACTCCTTTCCTCGTGTCTTAGTCCCGCCCACAGGAGATGCGAGCGGAGGAGTCGAGGAGGGGAAGCAGCAGGCGGTTAGAGAAATGAGAACTCCTCTGAGCGGTCATTTTAAAGAGACGTCCGTTAATGATGACAGGAGGCACAGCAGCCCTCTGTCTAATGGACAGATGTGTTCATGACGACTTATATATTTACTTTTAATTAATTGACAGTGCGGTATAAAATGAGACAATAACAGGCTACAGATGCGGACATACACACATATATATTGATATCAATATATACAATTTCAGAATAAAACAAGTATGAGAGCACTCTCATAATAACGTAACACTATCAGAGACTGGATATATCCCCCGGAAATAAATCCGTAGGATCCGCGCACTGGCTCAGAGGACCCATCAGTGTATCCTCGATTATAGCTCCTCCAGAGAGCCTCCTCGATGCTCAATCCTCGGTCCTCGAAGTGCATTTAGAGAAATTAGATGTCCTTCAAGATGGCGCGCTGAAATCCATTTCCGGGTCACTACCGGAGGAACGAGGAGTCGAGGAGCGGAAATTAGTGAAATGAGAAAGGGCCAATATGCTATAATGTTTAGATCAAAAATATGTATTTGACAAACAGGGAAAATAACCACTATTCATCAGAATCAAGTTTATTGCCAGGTACGTTTACACATACAAGGAATTTGCTTTGGTGTCTGGTGGTGCGAACATAAACAATCTAAAAAAAGAAGTTGCAATGGTAGGTAAAAATAAGTATTTTTAAGAAACTATTTAGTAGCCTATTAAATAAGAATACTTAAGACAAGTATTTACACAACATTTAGATTGAAATATTCAAAGAACCTTAAAAGGTAATATGGCAATATTATATGTTAAAGTGGAGGGCTTTACAGACATGTGTGTAAAAATGTGCAAAATATACTAAGAATGTTAAAATATAATTATAGAAATAACCACTAAAAGGTGGTTTCTTCAACGTAATAACGTTCCTAGGGTGTTTTATTTTGCAGAAACACTTCCTTCTTTTCTAAATATATTTTCTTAATACATTTCTGATACTGATGAGCATTCAGCACATTTAGGCCCCGGCCACACGAGGACGAAAACGGCTAAACGCATAGGATTAACGCAAACGCAATCGCAAAAAAGCTTCCGTCCACACGCAATATTCACCGGATAGTGTCTGTCCACACGAGACAGCTCCGTTTAGCTCCAACCGCTGGAGAAGCTGCAGTACATATGCAGGAGCCTGTACGTGGCGCTGTAACTTCCTCCTCCACAAAAGCAGCGAAGAAGCATGGTTGTCATGGTTGCCCTTCTGTTAATTCTCCACGGTGGGGGCCGAGGGAACCGGGCAGAGTTTTTCGCCAGTCAACGTGTATTAAAGTTTAAATCTTCCGGACAAAATTATAAAAGTGCCGGTCAAAGGTCTTCTTTGTTATTTATTGAGCTTTAAAACAAATGAATAACGAATCTATATAATAATAAAATACATGGAGCCTCTCTTTTTCCTCCCTCTCTTCGGACAGCGTCAGTGTCTGTTTCATGCAGCAGCTGATCCAGTAATGAGTGACCCGGCCGACAGTAAAAAATAAACATATTTATAACTAGTTTAGGTAGTTTGAGAGGTGTCTCCGTCCTGTCAGATTAGACTTCACTCGCGTTTATGTCCATATCGAGAGAAAGATAAATAATCTGAATTCAGTGTGCAGTTTACTTTGACGCGGGGGTGAGCAGCAGAGGTGTGGAGGCGGGGCTATTGCCTCATCATTATCAGAAAATGATCGTATAGGGCGTACACACGGAGCCGTTGGACCCCCCAGAGCGTTGCGTATGCCGTTCTATCCACCTTGGGACCCGTTATCGTTTCCGCAGTCGTTTAGTGCCGTATTCGGCCGTCCTCGTGTGGCCGAACGGTCTATATGACACTAAACAGTAACGCAAACGACCGTTTTCGTCCTCGTGTGGCCGGGGCCTTGGTGTTACGGTTGAACTTCCAAAGTGCAACAGCAGGCAGCAGCATTG